AAGATCCTTGAAAATGAAGTCCTCAGAAGTGTGTGTATGTGTGTGTGGGGGGGGGTGCCATGATATCTTGTAGCGTTTCTCACACTGAGGTCTGTCAGCCACTTGCATTTGGGGACAACTTGAGCATTTTAAAATTTATGTTTTTGTAGAATAAAACTTAGTTCTTTAAGTCAGTGGTTTCTCAAACTGGGATCTGTGGCAATATTTTTCCTTTATGAGATGTTAGTGTGCCACTGAAATTTGAGGAATATTGGTGTCTCGGAAAGGACATGGGCTGTGACGTAGGACAGATGCATGTTCAAATTCTGTCTCTATTACTTACTCACCAGAAGACTTTGGACAAATTACTTGTCCTCACTGCGCCTCACTTTTGTCATCTGTAAAATGGTGGCAGCAACTACCCGTCATCTTGTTATGAAGAGAACATGTAAATCATTTAACACATACTAGGGGCTCAGTAAAAGTTATCTCCCATCCTTTTGCCCATTTTTCTTCTCCTCTAAAGAAAGAGGAGAGGGGTTGCCTTCTTGAAGGAAAGTAAAGAGAAACTCAGCTGAGGTATTCAACACGCGTGTGCTGGAGACTCGGTGATTCAGGCAGAGACAATGTGTCTGGCTGAATAATGCTGCCCGCCCGCAAGATACCCACGTCCTGCTCCCTAGAACCTGCCAATGTTACCTTAGATGGCAGAAAAAGGACTTTCTGGATGTGATTAAGTTATGGATCTTGAGATGGAGCGATCACTCTGGATTATCCAGGTGGGCCCTAAGTAAGAGGGAGGCAGAGGGAGATGTGACACTCAGAAGAGGGGACGGCAATGTGCCCAGAGCATGAGAGATTGAAGTAATGTGGCCGCCAGCCGAGGAATGCCAGCAGCCACTAGAAGCTGGAAGAAGAGGCAAAGAACAGATTGTCCCCTAGACCCTGGGGAGGGAGTGCAGCCCCACAAACACCTTGATTTCAGCTCAGAGAAACTGATTTCAGACTTTGAGCCTCCAGAACCCTGAGAGAATATATTTGCTTTAGGCCACCAACTTTGTGGTAATTTGTTGTGGCAGCCATAGGAAACAAATGCAGAGGGTTGATCATGTCTCTGTAAAAAATAACATTGAGATGGGATGGAAGTGATTGTGCTCAATGGCAGAAATTGAAGAGCTCCCAAGCAAACATTTTGATTCTGTTATCTGGTCTTTGATTTGATTACAAGGCCAAAAGATGTGTAAAAGAGGAAACCCTTTTTTTTTTTTTTTTTTTTTTTTTGAGACAGAATCTCCCTTGTTGCCCAGGCTAGAGTGAGTGCCGTGGCGTCAGCCTAGCTCACAGCAACCTCAATCTCCTGGGCTCAAGCAATCCTTCTGCCTCAGCCTCCCGAGTAGCTGGGACTACAGGCATGCGCCACCATGCCCGGCTAATTTTATATATATATTAGTTGGCCAATTAATTTCTTTCTATTTATAGTAGAGACGGAGTCTCGCTCTTGCTCAGGCTGGTTTCGAACTCCTGACCTCGAGCAATCCGCCCGCCTCAGCCTCCCAGAGTGCTAGGATTACAGGCGTGAGCCACTGCGCCCGGCTTGGAAACCCTTTTTAATAATGTAGAATTTTCAAACTGTGGATTGAAATCGTTAGTGGGCCGTGACCAGCATTTTTTTTAAAAAAACGACCTGGAATAGAATACAAAGCCTGACACTCTACGCTGTTGTCATGGTAAACTGAGGGCTCTCCCACACCTTCCTCCAGGCAGCCATGCACGTGTTCTTCCTTGTGTTCAGCCCCTCCTCCTGCCATTCTTGGTTAGGTGCTTCTTATGTGCTCACATGGCACCTCATGCTTTTCACAATGACGGCCCTTCCCATCTTGCAAGCACACTATTGCCCCTTCATTCACAAGTGTGCTCTCGTCCCGTTTACTGTGTGCCAGACACCACCCTGGTGCCCACCCTTCCTGCGTGCTTGGTATCCCTGGACGGCCGTGTCCCTGAGCGACAATGTTTTAACCTCTGTACCCCCCCCACCCGTGCTCACAGTGCCTGGCACGCTAACAGGTGCTCAATGCTGTGATGAGCTGTGGCTTTAGGTTTTAGAATTATTCTTTTAAACAAATTCAAACGATGACTGGGGGAAGGTGATCTGGCCCTGTTGGCTGTAGGACAGGACGTTGCTCTATGGGAACAAGCCTGACCCGGCGTAGGTTTTCTAGAAGCATGGCTATAGAAATCCTCCATTTGGGCTTTCAAATTTTGGTGGTCCCTCAGTAGAGCTGGACACATTTTCTCTCCTCTCCAGACCCCTCTCCGGCCATAGCATCCCGACCCAGCTAGAGGGGAACCACGTGACTGACCAAGGCATGGAAGGAGCACTTTGTGAACGCTGGAGGCAGTCCTAATTGCAGGACCAGCTGGGGAAGATAGCCTAAAATACATTCCAGTCACACAGGACTTTTTAAAAGAAAAAGATACTTTTCTTTCCCAACTTTGGCCCTTCTGCTAACTTATTGTAACAACATCATGTCCTTAAAACATCAAACATGAGAGCCAAATTATATTCAGCAGTGTCTTAGGCAACAGCCACATATGTATAATATAGACGATGATATCATGGCCGACTCGATATAATTACACCCTTGGTCATAAACCCTCTCTTTCTTTCTAGGCATTGAAAGTACAGGATAGATATTATCTTGTTGCCTTTCCCAACACTTTTGCCAGGTAGGTGGGGAGCAGGTATCATTACTGTCTTTATCTCACATATCTATGGACAGCTGTCCTGGGAATGATTTGACCAAAGCCCACAGGCGATAAGAGCAACTGGAGAGAAAATGGCTGGAGTCATAATTAAAAAAACAGAACTTCCTGCTGAGGCAACTTCAGGTCACAATACTGGGATACTTCTAATTTCAGGCATTCTGGGAGCAAGGAGACACAACCAGTTAGTTATTTCCCTTTATTTGTAGGTGTATAAGAGCAAATGGGACAGCAGATAATTTAATTAAAGCAATACAACTGTTGGCACTTTCTGAGTGATCAGCATCTATGGGGAACATGAGCGTATATTTCCTTTCAAGGTGGCAGTGGCGTTACCAAGCATAGCTCAATAAAGTAGGACCAGCAACAAAATCTGGAATATCAGTATGATTCTATAGCAATTTTGTGCTATTAGAGGCAATTCTACTATAGTGATGAAAACATTTAGAGTTGTAGTGGCTTAAGTTTGAGTACCAGCTCTGACTCCAACTGGCTGAGTGATTCTGAGCTAGTCTCAATCTCTCTGGGTCTCATTTTTCTTGTGCGCAAAATGGGCACAATATTTACCTCCCCCGATAGCTCTGAGGATAAAGGAGATCATAAATGTAAAGTGTTTTATAAACAGTAAAATGCTATAGAAAAACAAGATATTATAAAGGTTGGACCACTAAAATTAAAGGCCCTAATACAGGTTATGTTTTCTTTCAATGGGTCCTATTTCCAATGAGTCATCTGTGCAAAGAACATGCCTTTAAATCCGTAGATTATTATCTCCCTGGAAAATCAGGAAAAAGGAAGATGAAGAGAGGGGAAGGGAGGCCTGGGGCTATAGGCATATCAAAATGTAAAGAATGTGACAAATATGAACCCTGTGTCTACGTGGCAGAAATCAAGTATTAAATACATATATACTACAGGAGCAGGACGCTTGGAAAGTAAAGCTTTCCTGTGCCTTCTGGAATGCGGGCCCTTAGTCCAGGATCTACAAGGTAAAGAATTCCATAGGAAGTATTTGTTTAATTAATTGTAGCTAAAACTTTGTTGTGGTTAGGCCAGATTCCATTGTGTAATGTTATTGCTTCTTCAACCGAGATATGTGCATACTTTAACCCAAGAACAAACCCACAAGATTTGAACTCCTAACCTTTACAACACAAGGCAGCTCCTTCGGCCACCAGGCGTCCCAGTTCTTGTTTACCAGGACTAAGAGCTCTCATCAGACAGAGCCCTATTTATTCCATGACCCTAGCAGAATAACACTGCGAAACTCAAAGGGATATCCATTTTAAAATAGTGTCTGTGGCAACAAGAGGATTCTGGAACTCTGAATCAGCCCCTTACCTCATTGCAAAATTTACAGGCTTGCAGAGTTAAATGGGAATCAGATTGGAATGTACGGGCTTCTATTTTTCTGTAATGACACGTTGTGAGGAGAAAGAGGGCAATTTTCTCGGACATTCCTCTAAAACCAGTGCACTTGCAGTGGTTGTTTTTGGTTTACAAAACTATCCCAAGCAGACCCACAGCCCACTGCTGTCTCTGGGTGCCAGGACTCTGGGCCACAGGGGCCATTTGTCCAGAGACTGAAATTAAATCAGTAATCATTCCTTTCACTTGGTGCGCGTTCTCCTCTACCCAAAGCAGTCAGAAAGTGGACGTTAGTACCTCATTCTTTCTCTGAAGTCATTTAATTATCACATGAGAAAAATGATTCTCTCAAAATATAATCTTAGACTTTGGCTTCACCTACAAGTTGAATGAATTTTGTAAGGAAGAAAGAAAAAAAAAAACCAAAAAAACCTCAAGAAATATGTCTGTTCCTCACATCTGACTGTGAAAAATCCATATACTATGACCTGAAAAGGAAAAATAAACATAGTCCATGAAATTCTGTGGCAAAAAGGAATGAAAATGTTCCTTTAAAAAAAGAAAAAAACTAAACTGTCTTCTCTGCAGGTTTAAAGGGAAGCTTTGCCAAAATCTACTTTCTGGAAACTTTCCTGGAGACCTGGCTGCTGCCATCAGGCTTGGCTGCAAGGGAAAGGCCTGGAAGACTGTGGTTTGGAATGTGTGAATGTTAAAATCAGACCTTGTGCCTTTGTCTTTGCAATAACAACAAGTCTTTGGTTTTGGCTACATAAGTGCGCGGTTTCCGGGACTGCCTTGTTTCTTCTTTCACTCCGGGTCAGAACTACTGAGGTGATCATGGTATCTTCAGGTCATTTTCTTTTTGACCACCACTCTCTCCTTTCTTGCAGTGCCCTGGAGAGGCCAATAGGCACTATTTCCATGCTGAAATGAAGAAATGACTGGGTATGAAATGACTCGTGGAAGGCCACACAGCAAGTTGGAAGAAGATTCTGGATTAGAAACTTGAAATTTCCATGTCTTCCCCAGGTCTGTAAACCTGGTCCACTAAGCTAAGTTTTTCTAAGTCATTGAAGGCCCAAAGATGCACGCTGATCCCCAGGTATAAGGTGTGACTTCAGACTAGGAGTCAGCCCTATGCAGAGTGACAAGATGTGGGATACTTTAATAAAATAAATATCACCTTCTTGGGCAGAGTTATAACTTAAAATTGTCTTACCATGGATTATTTTAATTTATAGCATATTATATGTAATTCAGATAGAACAAGGGTGATAGTAAGTCTAATCCTAGCTATGAAAAGATTTGCTAAACAAACACCAAATATAAAATATATTTTATATATAAAAATATATATAAGTATATAAAATATATAAATATACAATAATATATAAAATATATTAATATATAAAATATAGAAAAAAATATAAATATATAAAAGTATATATAAATATATTTTAAATATATATATACTCCTAGCACTCTGGGAGGCCGAGGGGGTGGATTGCTTGAGGTCAGGAGTTCGAAACCAGCCTGAGCAAGAGCAAGACTCCATCTCTACTAAAAATAGAAAGAAATTAATTGGCCAACTAAAAATATATATACACAAAAAATTAGCCGGGCATGGTGGTGCATGCCTGTAGTCCCAGCTACTCGGGAGGCTGAGGCAGCAGGATCGCTTGAGCCCAGAAGATTGATTGAGGTTGCTGTGAGCTAGGCTGATGCCACAGCACTCACTCTAGCCTGGGCAACAAAGTGAGACTCTGTCTCAAATAAACAAACAAACAAATAAATATATATATGTATATATATCTATATATTATAGCAACTATGTCTCATGCCATATATCATGTGTCACATAAGAACAAGAATTAGGAAATAACAGAATCAATGATTACTGTATCATGGGGAGCTATGTTTTCAGGAAGCACCCACTGAACCTGGAAGTCATTCTCTTTAACAAAAACCAGGTAGTCTGTTTAACCTACTATACTACACAGCAGTAGTTGCAACTAAAAAAATTTGTTTCCAGGAAAAGGGCACATACTGAAGTCATTTTTATGGGGTCTTAGAGTTAAGCAGGTCTCTCTCTGTGTTTCAGCGGCATGTAGAACCATTCAGGAAATGGGAATGTGCATAGTTAGAGCCAGAGAACATGTCAAAGAGTCTACTTAAAGGAGCATGGGTGGACTGGGACACCAAGAATTCTCTGCAATTAGTAAAAGCATACCTGGTTTTATTGTGCTTTATTGTACTTCATAGATACTACCTGCGTTTTGTGTAAGTTGAAGGTTTGTAACAACCCTACATTGAGTAAGTCTATCGTCTTTTTTCAATAGCACATGCTCACTTACTGTCTCTGTGACACATTTTTTTCTGATTCTCACAATATTTCAAACATTTTCAGCTAGGCACAGTGGCTCACACCTGTAATCCCGGCACTTGGGGATGGGGAAGGATTATATGTTGGGCGGATTATATGAGGCCAGTTGTTTGAGACCAGGCTGGGCAACCTAGCGAGACCCTGTATTTACAAAAATAAAAAAAATATTATAGCTGGGCATGGTGGTGCACACCTGTAGCCCCAGCTACTTGGAAGGCCACGACAGGAGGACTGTTGGAGTTCAAGGCTGAGTGAGCTATGGCGGCACCACTCTACTCCAGCCTGAGTGACAGAGTGAGACCCTGTCTCTAAAAAAACAAAACAAAACACCTTTTCATTATTATTATCACATCTGTTATACTGATCTGTGATCAGTGATCTTTGATGTTACTACTGTAATTGTTTCGGGGAGCCACGAACCACAGCCATGTAAGAGGGCAACTTAGCTGATGAATGTTGTGTGTTCTGACTGCTCCCCTGGCTGGCTCACTGGCGGATCCCCATCTCTCTCCCTCTGCGTGGGGGCCTCCCTACTCCATGAGACATAAAAATATTAAAATTAGGCCAATTAATAACTCTATCATGACCTCTAAGTGTTCAATTGAAAGGAAGAGTCACGTGTCTCTCACCTTAAATAAAAAGCTACAAATGATTACGCTCAGTGAGGAAGGCATAGCTAAAGCTTGGACAGGCTAGCTAGGTTGTGAATGCAAAGGAAACGTTTTCGAAGGAATTAAAAGCGCTACTCCAGTGAACACAGGAACGGTAAGAAAGCGAAGCGGCTGTGTTGCTGACGGAGAGGATTGAGGTGGTCTGGACGGAAGATCAAACCAGCCACAACATTCTCTTCAGCCAAAGCCTAATCCAGAGCAAGAACCTAATGCTCTTCAATTCTATGAAGGCTGAGAGGGGTGAGGAAGCTGCAGAAGGAAAGTTTGAAGCTAGCAGAGGTTGGTTCATGAGGCTTAAGGGAAGCAGCCACCTCCAGAACATCAAAGCGCGAGGTGAAGCAACACGAGCAGGAAGAGAAGCTCTAGCAAGTGATCCCGAAGATCTAGCTGAGACGACTGATGAAGGCGGATATCCTAAGCAACAGATTTTCAGGGTGCATGAAACAACCTTCTGTTGGAAGAAGATGCCTTCTAGAACTTTCATAGCTAGACAAGAGAAGTCAGTGCCTGGATTTGAAACTTCAAAAGACAGGCTGGCTTTCTTGTTAATGGCTAATGCAGTTGGTGACTTTAAGTTGAAGCCAGGGCTCATTTACCATTCTGAAAATCCTAGAGCTCTCAAAATTATGCTAAATTTACTCTGCCTGTGCTTTATAAATGGAACAACAAAGCCTGGATGACAGCATATCTGTCTACAGAATGGTTTGCTGAATATTTTAAGCCCTCTTTTGAGACTTACTGCTCAGAAGAAAAGATTCCTTTTGAGATATTAATATTACTGCTTACTGACATTTCACCTGGTCACCCAAGAGCTCTGATGGAGAGGTACAAGGAGATGGATGCTGTTTGCATGCTGCCAACACACATCCATTCTATAGCCCGTGGATAAAGGAATAACTTCAACTTTCAAGTCTTATTATTTAAGAAATATATTTCTTAAGGTTATAGCTCCCATACATAGTGATTCCTCTGATAATTCTGAGCAAAGTCAACTGAAAACTTTCTGGGGTCAGGTGCGGTGGCTCACACCTGTAATCTTAGCCCTCTGGGAGGCCAAGGCAGGAGGATCGCTTGAGCTCAGAATCTTGAGACCAGACTGAGCAAGAACGAGACCCCATCTCTACTAAAAATAGAAAAACTTAGCCTCATGTGGTGGCATGTGCCTGTAGTCTCAGCTACTTGGGAGGCTGAGGCAGGAGGATTGCTTGAGCCGAGGACTTTGAGGTTGCTGAGAGCTAGGCTGATGCCACGGCACTCTAGCCTGGACAACACAGTGAGACTCTGTCTCAAAAAAAAAAAAAATAAATAAATAAATAAGAAGAAGAAGAAGAAAAAAGAAAAGAAAAAGAAAACTTTCTGGAAAGGATTCGCTCTTTTAGATGTCATTAAGAAACATTTGTGATTAATGAGATGAGGTCAAAACATCAACATTAACAGAAGTTTGGAAATAGTTGATTCCAACCCTTATGGATGACTTCAAAAGCTTCAAGACTTCAGTGGAGGAAGTAACTGCAGATGCGGTAGAAATAACAAGAGAACTAGAATTAGAAGTGGAACCTAAAGATGTGACTGAATTGCTGCAATCTCATGATCAAACTTGAATGGACGAGGAGTTGCTTCTTCTGGATGAGCAAAGAAAGTGGTTACTTGAGATGGAACCTACTCTGGTGAAGATGCTGTGACCATTGTTGAAATGACAACAAAAGATTTGGAATATTACATGAACTTAGTTGATAAAGCAATGGCAGGTTCTGAGAGGACTGACTCAAGTTTTGAAAGAAGCTCCACTGGTCCTTGCACTCATGGAGCTCACAGTCTAATGGGGGAAGATGGACATTAAATAAGCAAGCAGATCAATACTAAGAATTACAAGCTCTACGTGCAAAATGAATGGAATACCATGGGGAAAATAAATGGAATACCATGGGGAAAATGAATGGAATACCATGGGGAAAATAAATGGAATACCATGGGGAACCAAAATCCGGAGGGGACTGGATTTTGATTGGGAGACCAAGAAAGGCCTCTCTGAAAAAGTAATGAGCTGAGATCAGAAGGATGAGGAAGGGTGAGGAAGGAGAAGTTTAGGTGGAAGGTTGTGAGGTGGGCACAGCGTTTCAGGCAAAAAGGAATTGTGAATGTGAAGGATCTAAGACAAGAAAGTTTCTGTGTTAAGAACCTAAAACAATTCAATTAACTGAAAAGTGGACAGTTTTATATTTTCAATACTATGACAATCAAATTATTAAATAGATCATTGGATAATCTAATTAATTATTAGATAAACAAGTGTTAAGAGAAAATCATTTTAAAAACTAGGCTTTTGAGGCCGGGCGTGGTGGCTCACGCCTGTAATCCTAGCACTCTGGGAGGCTGAGGCGGGTGGATTGCTCAAGGTCAGGAGTTCAAAACCAGCCTGAGCAAGAGCGAGACCCCATCTCTACTAAAAATAGAAAGAAATTAATTTACCAACTAAAAATATATGGAAAAAATTAGCTGGGCATGGTGGTGCATGCCTGTAGTCCCAGCTACTCAGGAGGCTGAGGCAGGAGGATCGCTTGGGCCCAGGAGTTTGAGGTTGCTGTGAGCTAGGCTGACACCACGGCACTCTAGCCCAGGCCACAGAGTGAGACTCTGTCTCAATAAACAAAAACAAAAACAAAAACTAGGCTTTGACATTGTTTTAATTGTGACATATAATCCCAGTCCAAATCCTGTTCTCATTTAAAGGTGAACTAAATAGTAAATGAGGAGAGTGGTAGGAGATGAGCTTGGAGAATTAAACTTAAATCTGATCATGCAGGTGTTTGTAGGCCATATAAGGATGTCTTATTTCCTATTAAATGCAATGAAGAGCCAATGAAGGTTTAAACAATGTTTCAAAGATCTCCCTGGCCACTGAGAGGGAGTGGCAGGAAAGGAGGAAGGGATGGTGCTTAGGAGTTCAGTTCCAGTAGTTCATTCAAGAGATGATG